TTGAGCTATACCCTTACCAAAAAATCCCTCGCGAAATTCATAATGTCTTTTTAAAATTTTATTTTTCAATTAAAAGCTACAAAACCTGCGACAGGAAGTCTACCTGCAGGACCAGGAGAATTGAAAGGTAAAATATTTTATGTTCATATAGAAATTATGATCTCCTGAATGCACTATGCAGCACTATAGGCTTCTTCCCAGGGCCTTTTTTAACATACAAGGGCAGGGAGGACAGGGCAGGGAGGACAGTTTGGAATTGATAAAGCTATCCATAGTTCGGATTTCTTCTTGAAGTAAATTTGGATATGCAAGACATAGCCCTTCAGAAGCCTCTAGGGAAAACAGTTTAGAGAAACTGAGTGGTAGTTTAACATGAACCCTATGTTGAGGTTCTTCTCAAGTGTCTCATTCATTTACAGTTCAAGTGGTTATCAACTGGAAAGTCATCCCTGGTTCTCTCGCTGAGATCAAAGCTGGCGCAAAGGACGTTGCCTGGGGTCGTGATGGTCAAGACAGGGTGTACGCTATAGTGAACGGAAAGTTCGAATATGTTGCAGATGCGCGTAAGATCATATCCATCAGCGTTGGAGGTTCTGAAGTGTGGGCTGTAGATAGCAAGGGCAATGTACTTTACCGTGAGGGGATTACTGCCTCTGAACCCAAGGGAACAAGCTGGAGTGTGATTGATAAAATTCCGTTGGAGAATGATGCTGCTGTTCAAATCGACGTTAGTGGTAAAGGACGAGTATGTGTGGTGACTAAAAACCATCTCATATTATGCCGTGGTGGTGTGAACACTCTGAACCCCAAAGGCTTTGGTTGGCATGCTAAAATGGGTAAACTCAAACAGCTCTCTTGTGGAGGGCTTGGGTGTTGGGGAATTGGCCAAACTGGCACTAGAGTTTGGTTCCGGGTCAGTCTCGAACAGACAAGCACTAGTGATGTTAAATGGGAATTGATTAAAGATGCTGTATTAACAACTGTCAAGGCTGGTGATGATGGCAGCGTGTGGGGTATCAATGCAAATGGATACCTCTTTGAAAGACAAGGTGTGTCTGCAGCAACCCCTCAAGGAAAGAGTTGGGTGAGAGTAGCGCTGAGTAAGCAGTTTCAAGATATTTCGATTGCTGATGGTGTCTTATTTGGGGTAGCCAACACTGGAGCTATTTACCAATGTAAGTGAAAATGTTTCCTTTTTATGAAGTACAAATAAAACTTTACCAGTGTTGTGGTTTCCTTCTGTCGTAACACGGGACAATTAACAATTAGACAACGAAGTCGAGTTGTCTACGAGCGAATAATCAACGAAGGCGTATAGCGTGAGTTAATTGTATTCACCATACACAACGAGGCTGAGTTGCCCAATTGTTTTAGTATACACTCCTACTCAAAATACAAACTGCAAGCACAATTGGAAAGCTTTAAATACAATTTAAAAGCATGCACGAACGTTTGTATGATTTCTTTCAACCTTTGCATGCTTTTTTCCTAGCCATTTAAAGTATTCAGACAATACTTCCAAGTATTCCACAAAATTCCCCCGAAAACTTTGCAAAACGTTTTCCGCCATCTTTTTTCTCGACCGTGGTCCGTCATATCATGGTTATGGTTGAGTAGCCAATCAGAATGCTGGAATCTGGAACAGACATGGTTGAGTGTACCTTTTTCGTACTTAATTTGACGTAACATTAATTTCGCGATTCTCACAATTGTCAAAAATTTACACCGGCACGCGAAATTAAATACCCCACTCAAAAATCTGGGTCATAAAATGTTTGATAAATATGATCAACAACATGTACAGCTCATATATCGACATAGATAAGAAATTATTTAATAATAGCCTTAGTGTTAAGCTACAGTTTGCATTTTGTCTTGTTACCGGCAAAAAAGATGAATAAAAACATTGCGGACTAACGTATACTACAGACAATATATACCGTATGTTAACTTGTTTCGAAAGTCGTAGTTCAGATCTTTATAGAAAATAAAATGCCGCTCCAATGGCTTTCGCGAAATGTAATAACCTTTTTCTATTTTCGCCTATAAAGTCTCGCTAACTGCTATTGCCTCGAAAAAATCTCGAATAAGGTATACTGAACCTCTAGATGTTGATCATGATTGATGATTATCTTACTAGAACAGATTAGAACAGATAGAGTTTCCAGTATAAATATTTTTAGTTGAGTTGAGTTTGGAAGTTAATTTTGTCTTAATCATTACTCTTTGTGTATATTTCACTTTAGCTTCACCAGTCACCACTGGACGTCTGCCAACAAAACCAGTGACGCCAACGGGACCAGCCACATCAGCGCAACCTCCAGGAAGTGAGTGAATAGTTCCAGCTTGTACTAACAAGATACATGATCGAGTTCCAATCCTCGTGAATATGTTTTTGTATATTTAAGCTTTTTATTTTGATACTATATATAGGTCCAGGATCTCTTCCGGTTGGTGGAAATAAAAAAGTTGTGGATACTGCAATTAATAAAGCTGTTGTTACTGTGAAGACGTCTCCAGCAGGTATAACTGTTATAGAGCTTTCCGGTTCACTCTCAACTCTAAACTAGACGAATGAAAGTCCGAGTCTTTCGCACTCAAGCCCAAGTACGATATTGTTTAGGACGGCATTGACATGCATATAATGGCTGTGATGAGGCATAAAATAGTCAGGGCATGTATTCCTCTTGCAAGCACTAGGAGCAAATCGGTAGATACAAAAAGAAACAAATTCAGAAGAATAATGTGATCAGTGATCTTGAAATTCAATATATGAAAATTTACAGTTTGAGAAGCTCGTCTTGTTTTAATTCAAATCTCGGAGTCCAAGATGACATTGTTCTTTTGAATGTTTTCTTTTTATATTTTCGAAAATTGCCGGTTAGCCGTGGTTTTTCGACAAATCGGAAAATCTCATATGCATTATCTCGGTGGGACATGCCTCCCCTGGATATCAAGTCCGAATCACATCTCACACAGAAGTCTCACGTGCGTACGTGTCACAACATTCAGAAAATCCAAATCTGAAGCTTTCTCAGCTCTGTAGGTCTCTACTCTTTTAGTAGCCAAGATGCTCGAAACACTGGTAGGATATCTGAGATCTCGATCTGCTATTCCATGTGGACTTGATACATATCTTTATCATTTCTAGACTATGATTCGCTCATTGATGAGAATGAAGAAAAGTTTGATGGCACTCGCATGATAAAATATACAAAGAGTGTTGTGAACTTCGAGTCAAGCGATTTTTCATTGGCTGTTTTGGTGAAGACAACCACACCCGGAACTGTTATTTCAAAAACTGGTGTCACTTGGTCTCCTGGAAATGTTGCATTCACAATCAGTCAGGCTGGAACAGTCAGCTATCAGATCAATGGTGTTGGTGCAATTACTGGCACGACAAAAGTGAATGATGCAAATTGGCATGAAGTGGCTGTAGTCTTTTCAAGCCAGGATAAATCGTAAGTTGTGTTGGTTAGTTGAGATTTTGAAAATGCTTATGTTCAGTCAGATATTAAATATGTATATTTGGTTTGGTACAAATGAAAGCACGGTTATATGATACTGATACATACGTAAAAATCTCACGTCTTGTCAACAAGATGGGTAGCAAGCATGTCAACAAGTTGTAACAATGCTGTTAGTTTGTTAAGTTGCAACAAGATTATTTCTCACACCTTATTAACAAGGTGTTGAACTGCAGGACGATGACAAGTTGCCGGGACAACTTGTAACAAGTTTGTTGAGTTCAACAACATTGTAGCAAGTTGTCAACAAGCCGTTGACAACTTTGCAACAATTAAACTGACAACAAGCAGTGCGATCACTGATAAGAAGTTGTTGCAACAGTATTGTTGCAAGTCTGCTGCAGGTTTGTTATAAGTTGCGCGTTTTTATTTGTGCATGTACCACTGATCAGTACATGCATGTGTATTTTACCACTATACCTTGTAGTAGTCATTTGACTGGGTTAGAAACTGACCACATATTCCTAAACAATGTTATTGTACCTTTGATGAACATAATTATTTTATTGTGTGAGAGTCATTTGATGTACCCCACTGATAAAATGTTAACCTGGACCACCTGGTTAGATCTAAAAAGATATAGTTTTAAATTCGCGTTCGAAAATTCCATCTACAAAAAACTCATGATCTACTATAAGTGCGAAAGTTAACCAATTAAAATCGCCTGTTTTAGTGTTAACTACTATTTAACTGCAAAATAGTATTTAAAAAGTAGCTAAGAGCTAGGTTTAAATCCGGCCCCTGATTTTCGTCGATTTTAAATAGCAATTTAGTTCCATTTAAATTCACCATGTGACCAAGGTTCGATTCCTGTTTTAAGGTCATAATTTGTCCCAGTTTCATATGTGAATTGTGAAGAATGCTATCAGTTTAACTCTTACTTATTCTGGAAATAAAAGCAAAACTAACTATATCCAGTATATATATATATATATATATATATATATATATATATATATATATATATATATATATATATATATATATATATATATATATATATATATATATATATATA